GAACTGAGAAAGCTCCTCGGATGAGGAGCGAAACGTCTTCTGTTACAAATAAAGTCCAGTTGTTTTTGTATTGAACGCTTTTTGAACTCTCTTCAAAAATATTTGTAGTTGTAGCGAGCTCCTATTTTGGAAAGTTTTGCATCAAATAAATAAGCAGACTGTATTTTATACAGAACATTTGCAATGAACGGTGTTCCCACATGGCTGGTCTTCTTGAAATACCCATCTGATGTAAAGATTTACTGATTTTTGAAGTTTAGGTTGATTTTAAATTGTGGAAATCCACTCCAGCCATTGGCTTGACTCTTCATGAGTTTCTTTCTGATTCGTCAAACTGGTCTGTTTTAATTCCTGGTGAGATGCAAGTCAAACATGACCTGTTATGGTTGCTTTCTCTTTGATGCTACATCAAATTAGAGTTTTTTTTTATTATTATTATTTGCGAAAACACCATTTTTAATTTAATTTTTTATTTTTTTACATAGTACAGCATACTTTGTGTTGGGATTGGTTTAAAAACTTTGATGCACCTGGGAGTTTTTCATTCACACTATTTAATTAACCATCCATCTATCCATCCATTATCTTTACCCATTTCTTCCTTTTCGGATGGGGGTCACTGGTGCCCATGTCCAGCTATTGCTGCGGGAGATGGAGGACACCCTGGACAGGTCTCCAGTCCATCACAGGGACATATAGAGATAAACAAGACAAACAACCATTCACTCTCTCACTCACACCTAGGGACAATTTAGAGTTGCCAATCAGCCTAACATGCATTTTTTGGTCTGTGGGAGGAAACTGGAGTACCAGGAGAAAACCCACCCATCGAGTTTGTATGGAGAGAACATGCAAACTCCACCCAGAAAGGTCCCTGGACTGGGGTTTGAATAGGGGCAACCTGCTCGCTGAGAGGCAGCAGCTCTACTAACTGTGCCACCGTGCTGCTGCTATTTAATTATACGTAAATATTAAAATAGAGTTTATAGGTTGAATTATTTTTTTCAAGCTGTAATGGAAATATGTCATCTCAGTCTGCATCAGGCATCCATAAGAGTTAATTATTTTTGTGAAGTAATGTCAAATCCTGGAACTTTACCTCAAGCTGACATTTCACTGAGCCTCAGGATTCTGATGGAGATGAGACTTTTCCTCCTCCAACTGTTTTCATCACAGTGTAAGACATGCAGAGCCACAGTTGCAGCCATAAGTACGATACTCAACAGTCGTCATAATATTAACTGCTGCTGGATTTTATTGCACAACTCTGTGACTTTTCATTCCTTTGATTAGACGAACATTTGCAGCTTCCAACACCCTGCGTCACAGTCGCCATGCTGCTCGCAGATGAATCCTTTCTTAATCAGAATTTACTCTGCTGCCTCAGCTGTCAGTGTTGTGTGTAAGCAGTCTTACATTACTGCAGACAGCAAGGGCCCATTAGACATGTGGGCATCCGCCTCATTTTCTCAGCACTGCGTAGTTGTTTGACGCAAAAGTGTTCATGCATATTCATCAGTTTTGAGTTCATCAAAGATGTGACACTTGGACAGAACAAGACCACAATTTATAAGGAGAACGTGAAGTTACAAGCTGTACTCTAATGAAATGCACTGTTCTAAGTTACCACTTAGATTTAACTAAATAAAAATTTGGCTGATGCACGGTTACAAGTTCCAGTTTGCAACAAATTAACAGCTAAAAGCTACAGCTGAGATTGAAAGAAGGAACATTTTCGGAAATGTTTTGCTATTTTTTTATTTACATTTGTATTATAATCTGAGTAACTGTCAGTTAGAGGACCGGATTGTTTTTTTTTGTTTTTTTTACTATTCGTGGCCAGTGATGGGGCAGTAGATGGCTCAAACAGAAGCAGTAGCTAAAAGTGTCAGTTTGGTCACAGCTTGTCGGTGCTGCTGTCACTTTTGAAAGCTTTTTTGTGTTTTGTGTACTGTGTTCACAATACTGACACAATGTTGCAACACACCAAAGATAAGCCAGAGCTCTCGCATCAGACATCAGAAATGGACGACATGAGAGATGATCTGATCAAATAAATGTCACTTTTCCCCCTTTCCCATTTTGTGGATGGTCGCATGCATATAGATCATTTATCAGAGGCAGTCAAGAAAACGGGAAGCAATTTGACTTGTCTCTCAGGTGTTTCTGCATGCTCAGTACTCGGTGCTTTCAGACTGTATACATCTTCGCAATGAACTTGTAACAATTTAAGGCAGGTCTCATATTTTTTTTTATCTCTTTTTACATATAAAGTGCATAAGGTTGTTTAACTCCAGCTTTCAGAATAGGAGCTTTTTTAGTACAATAGGAAGCATAATAAGAGGATGTTGTCGGTCCTATTATTAGTGTAACTATTTGGCTAAGCAAGTTAAACATTAACGTCAAAGTCCATGCTCAATAATCCAGTTATAAAATCCAACAATGTTCAGTCAGGTTATCTGGACGGTTTCTTTTTGTGCTGAGACATTTCACCCTCCATCCAGAAGGTTTCATCAGCCTAAGGAAACGCCAAACAAAACTGATTCTCCCCCAACAACCTACTCAAAGTGTCTAAAGACAACGTTCACCTACAGCTGAACATTCTTCAGGCAGCTTAATGAACGTAGTGAGTGAAAATATATGATTTGGCTTCCAAATAAGTTGTGCAATCTTATACTGTATATAAAGTAACGAGACAAAACAGGAGAACACTTATTTTACAGCTCATATTTAATCCCCCAGTTTTTATCAAATATGTTAAAAACTTGGAGCATTGGAAAAAGCTCTAATAATCTGAACAGACACAATATGGTCCAAATGTTATTTACAGATGTTCTAACTACTTGGGAAGGACTGATCACTTCCTTTTATTGAACTCTGTCTTTGTCTGTGAGACTTGGGTAATTCCTGATTCATCCATTTGTTTCATCCATCCATTAGACAGTAGGGGGTGTTTAATACTGACTGGAACGGTCCAAACAGCCCATCAGTCACTGGGTGTGATCATTTAGCTGCAGTGTTCTGCTATGGATCCTCTGCTGAAGCCATTTTGTCTGACAAGACCTCATTTCTCCTGAAATTATTCAGCCTGTTCCTCCAAAAATTACCACTACGAGACTGAGTTATTCTTAATTAGTTTAATTAACTCTAAAGCTTGTCAGCAATAAATAATACACTGATCAGTCCATTTATAAACCACCAACAGATTGACAGAATAATCTTGGTTTTGTTTCAGTTAAAGTGTGTTATGTTTATAAAGGTGATGACAATCATGGATTGTTAAAAATGCAATACGGGATTAGAGATACATTTTGGTAAATGTTGTGATTTCTTGTGTATTCTGTATTAACTATTTTCATTTACGTGTGCACTCATAGTTATGGCTCAATCATCTGCTTTAGAAACTGGCTCATTTTGTGAAACAGAATTTTATAAATATTAAATAAACTCTGTAATATTTGTCAAAGTTTAACACTGTACTGAGTAAAAGTGGAAAAATTATTTTGAATACATGTTTTAGCGGACATCAAATATAACATCTAAATGGGTGATTTCTGCAACAATTGGAGGAATAAATTAAAAATATGTTGCTTAAACATTTCATTCAGATCTGGAGTCTTGAACTGGTGATGTTTTCATTGTTTCTCCAATATTTAATTCATACAAAAACAAATGTAATTTTTGATTTAGATCTGTGCATGCCATTTTGTTCCTTTTACAACAAAGGTTATTTCCCTAAACTTTTACACCACATCAGATGCTTTCATATTAATCTTCTGGTCAGATCCTGTTTAAATATAAACTTAACAAATGGTTTCCATGTTTAGACAATCGCTGATTGGTCGTGCTGCTGCTTAATGACGTTTCAATACATTTGCTTTTTGTAGCAGTGAAGAGAAACATCTTAACTTCTTTCCTCTAATTTTTTGTAAAGCATTAATGAGGAGAGACTAAGAGTTAGAAATTATGTAACAAATCTTGGTGAAAAAAACATTGTGACTCTCAAAAACTTAAAAATATAGTGAATTATAGACAACACATTGACCCAGTTCTTACATAATAGCTACCGTTTTGCAATCAAACCTTTATTTTTTTTACATTTGGACTCATCAGATGCAATATTTTTAAAGAAAGACTGATATGAATGCATCTGTGTCACTCCTTTAAACATCTGCACACATAGCAAAACCTGTTTGTATGTTTTACAGATGCTGACACAGCAAACCAAAAGAACGACACGTCAGTCCTTTTAATTTTTGCTGTTCACTGAAAACATTGGAGTTACACGTCAGAAGACGATTATTAAACAAAACATGAACATTTCAGCTTTTATTTCTTGGTATTTACATTATAGATTTGTACACAACTTAAAAAAATCTTAGAATAAAATATTTCGTATTTAAAAAATATCTTAAAATAAGACCATTTTTTAATCGATCAGCTAACGAATAAGAACTGATGAACTTCAATTGCATCAAACTGGAGTTTAATTTGTTACAAGTTATTTTGCTCACTTTGAAAACTCGTCCTTAAGAAAATTGTTTTTAACAGATTCAGATGTAAATGGCAGGAAATAAAAATTGACTGCGTCTTGATGTCAGAGCAAAAATAATGAAACTCGTTAATCTAGTAGTTGTGGAGCAGATAAAAATACCTAAATAAGAGCCGATGATTTAAACATTGACATTAAAAAAAAAAACATTTGATCAACATCTTATCGGGTCTGCCCATTTGTGGGCATCTTTTTTTTTTTTTTTTTACTCACTTTGAATTAAGAGTTATGTTTTATTAAATATTAAAATTTAAAATAAATAAGTAAGTAATCAATT